AATAAGGTATTTGAAGAGTTTCCTGGACAGGACTAATTAGGAGTCTTTTGAGGATTCTGCATAGAGGCATGTCATGGCATTAAAACAGTGGTCATGGTCATGGTTTTTTTTTTTTTCCCCCTTATACAATATTGCTGGACTCGAAACCAGGACTTCACAAGGCAGCTCTATAGATGTTTTGTCTGTTGCTTGGTTCAGCATAGTCAAGAAAGCTGACTGGTATGAGATGCAGGCTGTCCAGTTTCATTAAAATGTGTGTGCCTATGTGAGATGTAATAAACTCTACTCATAAAAATAAAATGAAGCATTTGGACAGTGTTTTTGAAGGGATCTCCAGGTTTCTGATAGAAGTGTGGTTATGGTGAATGTGTCTTTATGTTGGCGCCCAACAGTACCAGAATCCTTGATATTTTCAGTGTATGAGAATGCTTAGGGGTTTCTCAATCTCAAGAAGGAGGAAGACATCTAATACTAAAACAATCCTCTGCAGAATTATAGTTTTTAAGAAACTGTTTGGTAGGTGTTACAGATAAATGGGAATTCTTAGACACCAGCTTATAACAGAAGCTCAGTAAAATATTTGAATCCATCTTAGGAGATGTATTTATTAATGAGTTTGGTACCTAATCTCGTTGGGTGGCACACCATCAGAGATCCTTCAGACACAGGGATTGACCCTGGAGTTGGGTTTATTTAGTACCTTCACACTTGATTTAGATGGCAGGATTAACAATCTATTCATTTTAGCATCTGGCTGGGCAGGGCACTCATACCTCAAAAATGAAGAAATTGGAACCCAGACTACTCGAGAAAAATTAGAGAAACACACTGCCTAGACAGGGTAATACTTCATTAGACAAATGCAAGGAAATATAATTAAGGATTAACATCTAAATAGACCCGTCCTGGATTAAGCAGACATAAAGTAGAAGTCTTGAGAAAAATGCAGGACTGTGCGGGGTGCCGGCAGTGACTCAGCAGTAGAATCTTGGTGCGAAGATTGTGACGTGCTATATCGAGACAAAACTGAGAAACAGCTCTGCTATATTCTGAGTTTCTTAAAACCATGTAGAGTTTCTGTTTTGGGATTTCTGTTTGAGAAGAATGTGGAGAATGCTGAATCAAGAAAAGAGAATAAAAGTGAATAGGTTGGCTAGTCAGAACTAAGTGGAGATGGAGACCCCTGACATGGGGCCTCAGCACTGCCTGGGCTACACCAGCAGGCAGCGAGGGCACTGAAGGGGGAGCCGTCTCCACAAGGGATCTGCTGTAGGTTTTACCACTGGGTGTGAAGGGGAAGGGGAGTGGTACTGGCATTGAACCTTACGCATTGGATTGGGTTGGGTTTTAAAATTTGTGATAAAAATTTCAGTTAATTAGAACTTAATTTCCCAAAACTCCTAATTAACTAAAATCTCTAATGTCTTGCTTTTCTTTTCTTTTTTTTTTAATGTGTTATTTATATATGAGAGGAGCAGATGACAAGAAAACAAGCTCAAATTAGATATTTGGTCAAAAGAAGCAATTTCTAATTGCCTAGGGTCATTACAGCTTCAGCCTCATCTCTCATATCTTCTACTTCACCCTCAAGACTATAGAGCAGTCATTGGTGTTCAGTGTCCTGAGGTACTTCAAGATCATCAAAGGTAGATAGTTTTCAATAAAAAGGTTGAAACAGGATTTTCTAACCTTCACTTAATCCGTTAAAATTTTAAAACCATATTTCATTGACCATTCTGGTTTATCAAAGTTTTAGTGTACAACGGGGTAAAAAGGCTGATGCAGTGGGAATATGAAGGGTTTATTATAAAGTATTCATCAGCTATTCATCTCCACAGAAGGTAGAACTAGAGGAAATGGGGTTTAGTTTTCAACAGGAAAGATTTAGGATAGACACAAAGGGAACTTCCTGATGGTAAGGGTTATTCAAGTTGGAATATGTCACTGTGGGAAATGGTTGTGCGCCCATCCCTGTGAACAGTCCGGTGCAGGAATCTTGGATGTTTTTAGGTCTAGGACCTACCTCCAGTCCTCATCTTCCCAATTCCTCCTGCTCTTGTCCCTTCTTTTGGCAACATTTTAAAGGCCTCAAGACAGATCTCTTTCTGACCCATGGGGAAGCCCTTGGCCTGTCTTTGGGGACACACTGCTGTGGATAGATAGCTGGGGAGTGAAAAGGGGGCAGTAAGAAGCAGGTATAAGGTAGCAAGTAAGAAAACCACTCAGTAATTATTATCTTATTTTTTTTAATGTAGAATTTTTAGAAATTCCTCCTTTCAACAAGCAGTATACAGAATCCCAGCTTCGAGCAGGGGCTGGCTATATCCTTGAAGATTTCAATGAAGCCCAGGTGAGGAGTTTCTTTGTGTAACCTAATATAGTGGCAATGAGAAGAGCCAACTTGCTGTGTGAGAAGAGGCCTGAGAGGGGTTGGGGAACCTGGATAAAGTAGCCAGAGATTTCAGGAACTGAGAAACTGCCAAAATGTCGTTGCATGAAATATAATTTTTGTTGTGTATAGGGAAGAGAAGTTAGGACCTTGGGTTAGTTAATGGCTCTGGTTCTGTTGCTGGGACAAAAGAAGATTGATATTTATGTTTAGTAGTAGAAACCCCTATTAGGGTTGCTGATTCTTAGCCTGAAAGGCTGAGTTCATAGGTCTTGTTTGTCCCTTGAGGATTTAGGTCCTCAGAATGCTGCAGGTGAGGCAGAGAGAACATCTGTGGAAATCGTTTGGGCCTTTCAGTGAAAAGAGTGGCCTTGGGCAGAAGGATAGACTAAATCACACGTTGGGTAGTAGTTGGGAGTCTTCAGATCTGCTCTTCATGGCTCACTATGGCTGCTGCTTAGGAGCTTTCCACAGAAGTCACCAAACCCATTGGCTCTGCTTCTTGTCTTCCAGTGTAACACAGCTTACCAGTGTCTTCTAATTGCGGATCAGCATTGTCGAACCCGGAAGTACTTCCTGTGCCTTGCCAGTGGGATTCCTTGTGTGTCTCATGTCTGGGTCCATGATAGTTGCCATGCCAACCAGCTCCAGAACTACCGTAATTATCTGTTGCCAGCTGGGTACAGCCTTGAGGAGCAAAGAATTCTGGACTGGTAAGTATTTGAAAGCCCATCCAGAATTGTATAGACAGGAAGACAGCAAGCTTTGGAGGGAAGAGAATCTAGGTGAGAGAGTAAAGCTTTCTAGAAATTGGAATGTCTGTAGGATAAATTTGAGTAGGTTTGAATTGCCTTCAGGAGTTTAGTTTATTTCCATAGGTTACATTGGCTAGGAACCTTTTGAAAATGTGTGAAGATTTGTATATAGGGTCAATATTCTCAACCTGTAAAGTTAGAGAACTAAGTTTTAAGTGAACATTAAAAAGATATAGGCTCAGGAGCATGATTCAGATTATTCTCAGCCCCAGAACAAACATGGAAATCAGAAAGCCAGGATTGCAAGGAATACAGGTCATTCACAGAAAGAAGGAAGAGAAGGAGGACCCTAATATAGGGCTTAGCTTTTTGAGATGAAGTCTTGCTCTGTCACCTAGGCTAGGGTACAGTGGCACAATGATGACTTACTGCAGGCTCAACCTCCCAGGCTGAAGTGATCCTACCTCAGCCTCCCAAGCTGCTGGGACTACAGGCACTCGCCACCATACCCAGATAATTTGTTATTTTTTGTAGAGATGGGGTGTCGCCATATTGCCTAGGCTGGTCTCGAACTCCCGGGCCCAAGAGATCCAACCACCACAGCTTCCCAAAGTGCTGGGATTACAGGCTTGAAACACTATGCCTGATGGGGCACTTAGTTTTGAAAGCATTCAGATGTACATGAGTCCCTTTGCAGAAAGGCGGTTTGTTGGATATTACTTGTCATGCTAAGGTCCTTTCCAGTTACATAGGGCTATCTCTCTGTCTCCTTCCTAGGCAACCCCGTGAAAATCCTTTCCAGAATCTGAAGGTACTCTTGGTATCAGACCAACAGCAGAACTTCCTGGAGCTCTGGTCTGAGATCCTCATGACTGGAGGGGCAGCCTCTGTGAAGCAGCACCATTCAAGTGCCCATAACAAAGGTACCTGAGTGTGTGTGTGTGTGTGTGTGTGTGTATCTTTGTTCGAGAGATCTCCTTAGACCATTCAAGTGCCCATAACAAAGGTACCTGTGTGTGTGTGTGTGTATCTTTGTTCGAGAGATCTCCTTAGACCTCTAGGTGTCAGGCCTTGTGGTCCAAGGCTCAGGCCTAATAGGTTGACCGTATCCATGTTTCTTAGAGAAGAAAAGTACCACCTTCAAGAGGTGAGTCAACATAAATGAAGCACTGGGCATATATTTGTTAAATATTTCTACAAGGTCAGCACATAGTGATTATACCTCTACTTTTGGTCATGATCAGCAGTGTGTTTGACATAATAGGGCTTTGGTTTGTGCAGAGTGGGATGTATTGGTTAGAATCAAATCTCTCTTTGTAATGGAGGGCTAAATTGAGTGTACTTTCCTTCTTCACTTTCACTTGCTCCTTGCAGATATTGCTTTAGGGGTATTTGATGTGGTGGTGACAGACCCCTCTTGCCCAGCCTCGGTGCTGAAGTGTGCTGAAGCATTGCAGCTGCCTGTCGTGTCACAAGAGTGGGTGATCCAGTGCCTCATTGTTGGGGAGAGAATTGGATTCAAGCAGCATCCAAAATATAAACACGATTATGTTTCTCACTAAAGATACTTGGTCTTACTGGTTTTATTCCCTGCTATCGTGGAGATTGTGTTTTAACCAGGTTTTAAATGTGTCTTGTGTGTAACTGGATTCCTTGCATGGATCTTGTATATAGTTTTATTTGCTGAACTTTTATGATAAAATAAATGTTGAATCTCTTTGGTTGTAGTAACTGGGATTTCTTCATCTGTTTCTTTGAGCTTAATCTCAGAACAAATGACAAGACAAACATAGTACTTTCTCGAGGTTTTCAATAGGCTTATTCACTTTAGGAGGACAGCTAGCCAAGGAAATTGCAAAGTTAAGAGTGAACTTTATTCTGTGGCATCATTCCCAAAAGGTTATTCCAGGGTGTCCAAAATGCTGTGCTTGCAAAAACTCAGTTTAAAGTAGGTGAAGGCCCAGATTAACAGTTGTGCCAAAAGTTGAGCGGAATTGGGCACAGCTCTGTTTCCTGACAGTTTAAGAAAGACCTCATGCTCTCTCTCTTTAGAGCTGAGATCACTAACAGCTGACCTGTGGGTATTCCCCCACTTAAGAGCTAAAGGGAGAACGAAAGGACCAACTGCCATGAAGGGACAGTGACCATAAGCTTGATGGAATGACCTTCCGGAAGATACACATGAGAAGCACAAGTGAGAACACTTGGAAATGTTACAAGTTCTAGTCAAAGACCCAATATTATTATTATTGTCACAATAGCTGGAAGCTGTTCCTTCCCTTCCTCTGGCATCACTGATCCCCGTTCCTGGCTTCTCATTCTCTAAAGCAGGGATCAAGTTTTTTTCTGTAAAGGGCCAAAGAGTAAATATTTCAGGCTTTGTGGGCCATTTGATCCATCACAACTACTCACCTTTGCTGTGAGGGCATGAAAGCAACCATAGACAATGGGTAAACAAATGGGCATGGCTGTGTTTCAGTAAAACTGTATTTACAAAAACAGGCAGCAGGCCATAGTTTGCCAACTCCTGCTCTAGAGATAGCGTAAAGGGTGATCTTTACTTGATAATAGAAGGGAATAAGGTTGTCAGAGCTTCCCTGTGTGTGTAGATGTAGTGATGAAGACCAGATTCAGTGACTATAAACTGATGCCAGAACACTGCATTCTTTTTCAGTTTGGAGGGCGTTGTTCAATGAATATTTATTTTTACTCACACTGATATGAATATTGATTACCAGTGATGACTGGGCCATATTAAGATAACTTCAACCCCTATGGCTTGTGTAAGATGGGTAATTGGGCCTGCAGTCTTCACTATTTAAAAATCTAACAACTTGATCTCAGTTTTTTCTTAAAGACCTTTTTATTGGAGAATACTTTTTTTTTTTTTAAAGACGGAATTTCGCTCTTGTTGCCCAGGTTGGAGTGCAACTGCACAATCTCAGCTCACTGCAACCTCCCAGGTTCAAGCGATTCTCCTGTCTCAGCCCCCTGAGTAGCTGAGATCATAGCCACATGCCGCCACACCTGGCTAATTTTTGTATTTCTAGTAGGGTCGGGGTTTCATCATATTGGTCAGGCTGGTCTCGAACTCCTGACTTCAGGTGATCCACCCGCCTTGGCCTCCCAAAGTGCTGGGATTACAGGCGTGAGCCACCGTGCCTGGCCTAAGAAATACTTTAAATATATTTTCATTAACTAGAATTGCCCAATCTGTGTAGGTATAAACTACTTGGTATAGGGAGAGAGAAAGCCTATCTTACCTGTTGCTTTCTTACTTGATGGTAACATCCAGCAGTTAGCCTATTTATAAACATAATTACTTTTTCACATATGAACCATAAAATATTTAACTTTCTGCTCTATATTGTTTGTTTACTGCTGTATCTCCCACAGCTTGAACAGTACCAAGGCATGTACAGTAGGTGCTCAATAAATGACTACTGAATAAACGAACATATCCAACAAATGTTCTCAATGTAAAGGATCAGAGATGCCACATGTTCTCCTTGATGGGACAGGCCTTTCCACATGGGAATGATGGGAAGGATTTGTACTCCTGGATGTTTAGTAACTGCTTCCAGGAGAAAAGGTAGAGTCCTATCACTAGGCCACAGATACTCATTTGTGTTTGGCTAGAATGGGATGTTTGTTTTGAATCTTCTGGTACAAACTTGGGAACGTGGCTGTTATTTCAGTTTATGAGCCATAACTTTTCACATCCCGAAACTACAAAAGAGAAAAAGAGCCTTATTAAGTATCATGCTTTCCCAAGACTGCCTTCAAAGAAGTATGAATCAGGACAACCTGTGGTCTAAATAATGTCGTCTTAAAACAAGAGTTTCTTTTGACTCTTCTGCTAAAATAGCTTAGAAAAAAGTCTACTTGCAGACATTTTAGAGAGAGAAAGGACAATAAAGTGATTTTCTAAATGGGAATGACAGAGCTCTGGGAAGCCAGCTACCACTGAATCTCACTTAAAGTTTAGAGTTAGAAGGCGTGGTCCCCTCCTTTCACCGATGTGGAAGCTAGGGACCAGCAAGGCGGGGTGCCCACGGCTGCACAGCTAGTTCATATCAGAATTGGGAATGGAAGGCACACTGCCTCCCAGCATAGCAATACATAACCTAGCAAAGGACTTAACACCTATCTCACTGTCAGGTTTTTTAGTATTTCATGATGATGATGATGACTTCTACTAGAAAATAATCTTCATTAAAATTATTAAAGATGGTCACACCTCTATCTCTAAACCTTGTTTATATAAAATGAGCGTATTTGGACTATATGATGGCTAAAGTCTTCTTCCAGCTCTAGAATTCTGCAACTCATTAAAAAGTCACCCACAAAAGTCTACTGAGTTACCCAAGGGTTGCTCCTACCTGCCCAGAGTTCCACCAGCCTGGGTATAGTATTTGTTATAATCTAGTCGTAACAGTAGTTGAGCCAAATCTGAGTTGATCTGATGATTCCGAACACTGGAGAGAATCTTGAATAGGAGTGAAGACTGGCGGCTAAAGCCCTGCAGAGAGAAGGACTCAGCTGTCATTCCACTTCAGCTCACCAACTCTCCATATGGAGGATGGGGGCGGAGGGAGGAGTTTCTTGGAAAAGCCTTGCTCAAAATTCTACAGAACCACCTGGCCTTCCCACATTCCTATTTCTATTAGTTCTTAAAATGACTTGTACCAAATCCATACATGCATGACTTCCTATGAAAGTACTCTTTCACCAGTAGGAATTTGGTAGCTGGTTTCCAGTTAATGTATTTTGTCAAGTACTGGGGTTGGGGAGAACCCGTTTTGATTACAAGCAGATAATTATCTCAGTGAGATAGGGGTTAGTTCAAGGAAGTAAGGAGGGGTAGGATGTGAGGAAGTTAGAACAAAGCCAATGCTTATTTGATGGGCTAAATAAACTATTCAGGACTGAACTATTTTTGAGCACTCTGAGGTGGCACAGTAATTACCTGATTCAAAATCAACTGATACCAACATTTTTATCTTTATATCTTATTTCTGTACGTGTGTGTATTGAGGAAATGCTTTACTGACTCAGAGGAAAGATCATGAATTCTCCATTGACAAAACCACCTCTGTCCTTTCGGCAAGGCTGCTTACTTCCAGGCAGACGCACCTTCACGAGAATGCTCAGCTGGGCGGCTCCACGCTCATCCAGTGGGCCTAGGTTCTGACTGACCAGCGAACAAAAACTGTGACAGAGATCTAGGATTTCATTCAGGCAGTGAAACACCTACCCAGGAAACAGAGTTGGCATTAGGAAAAGAAGGAAGGTACGTCCATGAAATTAAAGATTTGGGAGAACAGTCTGATTAATAGCTGACCTCCCAAATCTGAGAGGATAGACACTGTCACTTGCAAGGCCTGCCAGCCCCTCAGACATACAATATGTGTAAAACAAACGCATCCTTTCCTGCGTACGCGAGTATTACTCTCTCAGCCCTGCACCAAACCTCCATTCTAGCCACATTTAACTCTTCATTTCTTAGACCCGCAGAGTGTGTTCCTGCCTCTGAGCTGTGAGTGTTGTTCCCTTTGCCTGGGATGCTCTTCTTTTTAATACCAGTTCAAGTCCCACTCTCTCAGTGAAGCACTCCCTTCCCCACTGTAGCCTTTAGTGAACCCCGTTTCTTGCTTCTTTATTATCTGTACTGTTGTCCACTTGGCAATTGTTCAGGCCTCTGTGTTGTTAATGATTTCTGTATGTATATATATGTCTTGTTTTTCCAACTAGATTGTGAGCTCCTTAAGGGCAGAGCCATGAATTATACCTCTTTGTATCCCCAGTGCCTTGCATACAGTAAGCACTCAATAAATATTTAATGATGATGACCTGCTCTGATACTCGGCTTTTCCCTGTGGATACATCTATGCCACATAAGGACAGCATCGACCCATCACAGTAGTTCTTGGTTGTTTTCAACCAGCCCTCTGAAATGGCATTTATTAATATATATCTTACTCTTCCTGGGCAGCAGAAATAGCCCTAAACACCAGAACATTTTTAAAAGTCTGTAACGGCTGTGCTGTAGCACACTGAGGAATAACAACCAGCTCATGTCAGAGAGGAGGCATGACCGTTCCATTAGAAACTACCAGAGATCATTTCAATCTTCCTGTTCTTTATCCTGGAATTGAAACTAGCTTGTGAGCTTTAAAAAAAATTGGTAGCTGGGTCCCACTGTTTTAGGGATTCCAATTTAAGTGCTCTGTCATCTGGATTTTTTTAAAGGGTCCCGATGATTCCAATGTGCAGCCAAAGTTGAGAATGACTGCCACGAAGGAGACATACACGTATTTACAGAAACACACACCTCGAGAGAGAAACACTACTCTAGCTGTCTATGAAAACTTTGAAATGACTGATCCATCCTGGTCCAAAAGATTTCTAAGAAGGTGAACTCTATATGCTTTTCATTGATTTTTCTGTATTGTCAGCAAGGATTTTAACTCCTGAGGGTTTAAGCACATAATTCTTTCATCTGTAGCTGCTCACCACACCCCATATTTCCAAAATTCAAAGACATCTTAGGTCCTGTTTTAACATGCCTTTTTAGTTTTGCTTTACACATTCTTCCCCCCCCCCCACCCCATCCCCAAAGACAGAATCTTGCTCTGTTGCCCAGGCTGGAGTGCAGTGGAACGATCTCGGCTCACTGCAACCTCCGCCTCCCGGGTCCAAGCAATTCTCCTGCCTCAGCCTCCCAAGTAGTTGGGATTACAGGTGACTGCCACGACACCCGGCTATTTTTTTCTTTTTGTATTTTTAGTAGAGACAGGGTTCCACCATGTTGGCCAGGCTGGTCTTGAACTCCTGACCTTGTGATCCACCCACCTCGGCCTCCCAAAGTGCTGGGATTACAGACATAAGCCACCATGCCCGGCCGCTTTATGCATTCTTAAAAAATGTTTTAAAATGGACTTGAATAATTGCTTAATGATGGTTTCATATCCTGTCAACTCAAAGCGCCTAAGGGAAGGGTCAGTGCTAGAAGCAGTCCGAGGAAACCAATGCGCCTTACTTACAGGTTTCAATAGGATAAAGGATTGAGCCAGCAAATTGCTCAGGAAGTGGTCATGAGCCAATCGGATGCTTTCAAAGTCTCGGGTAGAATTGATTTGATGAAGCAGCTGGGAGAACTGAGACTCCAACACATCTACCTGATAGACATTACACAAAAAGTTTAGCACCTTGAATATTCTAAGCACTCAAAGACATTAAGATGCCTGACAGATTGAAATGAAAATGCTTTGCCCCCACTCATCTTCCTTCTAAGTCACATTAAGGCTGACCAAAGACACCCTTATATTGCCCAGCCTTGTAGGAAGTTATTTGCATAATTATAAAACCTCTCCCTCCAATGTCCTGGCTGACCACTCTCCCCTGCCCCATCCTTTTCTCTTTTCCTTCCTTTTTTTTTTTTTGAGATGGAGTCTTGCTCTGTCGCCTAGGCTGGAGTGCAATGGTGTGATCTCGGCTCACTGCAACCTCCACCTCCCAGGTTCAAGCAATTCTTCTACCTCAGCCTCCCAGGTAGCTGGGACTACAGGCATGCGCCACCACACTCGGCTCATTTTTTTGTATTTTTAGTAGAGATGGCGTTTCACCATGCTAGCCAGGCTGGTCTCAAACTCCAGACCTCAAGTGATCCGCCCACCTCAGCCTCCCAAAGTGCTGAGATTACAGACGTGAGCCACCACACCTGGCTGAAGCCAGGAGTTTGACACCAGCCTGGGCAACAAAGTGAGACTCCACCTCTACAAAAAATTTTAAAAACCAGCTGGGTGCAGTGGCATGTACCTGTAGTCACAGCTACTTGAGAGGCTGAGGCAGGGGGATCACTTGAGTCCAGGAGCTTGAGGCTTCAGTGAGCTATCACTGTACCACTGCACTCCAGCCTGGGAAACAGAGAAAGACCCTGTCTCTAAAAAATAATAAAATAAAATGCTTTTTTATTTTAAGAAACATGCTTAATGATATAACTCCTGAATTTCTCAAACCCCACCATTTTATCAAATACAAACTTACAGTCCCTATTCAATACTCCCTGCCAACCTGCTAGACATTTTTCCATACCCCTTCCTTCTACTCATCTCTCAGCACAGACCTGGAGATAGTACTGAAGATTATCCACCAAAAATGCCATGTGATTTCTCAGGCGCCACTTGATCGCATCAGTCTGGTTGGACTTGAGGTGCTTGCGCTGCATTTGTAGGGCCCAGCAGTGCTGCAGCTCAGCTTGCACCCGGCGTACGCTCAGTAAGTACTTGAAAACAACATTGTACCTAGGACAGAAACAACAGGATGTTCAAGATAAAAATTTCACCCTGTGACAGGCTCTAGGACTTTGTGCCACCCACTCCTCTCACAAAAAGGCAGTAAGGAAAGAATGGCTAGAGATGTAGACAAATAAATTATAATTTATTTATACAATGGAATATTATATAGCAGTCAAATGAATGAACTCCAGCTACACAACAAGATGAGACCCCATCTCTGCATTTTTTAGATAACTTGGGAAATTTCAATGTGGACTGGATATTAGATTATAAGGGACTACTGTTAATTTTACTGGCTGTGATAATGGCATTGTAGTTCTATTGAAATATGCCTTTTTGAATGGCTGACTCATGTTGCTTCTCATATTCAAAAATACGATTTTTGAATGAAAAACGTAAATCACAAAAGATTACAGATAGCCTTTTTTATAATTCTTAAAGCAGGCCAGGGATGTTGGCTCATACCTGTAATCCTGGCACTTTGGGAGGCCAAGGCAGGAGAATTGCTTAAGCCCAGGAGTTCAAGACCAGCCTGAGCAACATAGTGAGACGCCATCTCTACTAACAATTTAAAACATCAGCCAGGTGTGGTGGTGCCCACCTATAGTCCCAGCTACTCGGGAAGCTGAGGCAGGAAGATCGCTCAAACCCAGGGGTCAAGGCTGCAGTGTGCTGCCTGGGCAACACAGCAAGACCCTGTCTCAAAAAAAATAGTGTATTATGAATCAAGGATTATGATGAATCTGATTCTCTGTCCCTGAGCCCAAAGAAAGTAAAATAGCTTCCCTCTAAGATAGACTCCTGTCTCCCTGCAAGTTCAGGAGCTAACTGCTTAATGCTGAGACTCCGTACTGAAAAGACACATGGGAAGAACAGCTGATTCTTGGTACAACAGGATTGATTTACCTGTCTGTAGGCAGGCTTGCAGAAGACAGTCCCATTCTGTTTGGTTTTTAAAATTATCTATTTCTAAAGGAACAAACATAATGAAATAATAGACCTTGTTTGGATACTGATTTGAACAAACCCAAACATAAAGACAATTTTTAGATAACTGGAGAAATTTTAATGTAGACTGGATACTAGATTATAAGGGATTACTGTTAATTTTACTGGATGTGATAATGGCATTGTAGTTCTGTTGAAATATGCCTTTATCAATTGTTTATTGGCAGAATGAAATGACTGATTTGCTTTATACAGCTCTAACAAAAAAGTGGGGGAGGGACAGATAATAGTAGTATAATGTTGATGGTTACTGAAGGTGAATAATGAGGACACACGATTTTGTTATGGTCTATACTTTTGTTTATATTTAGAAATTTTTATAATGAAAATGAAAAAATACATCTAAACTTGATTTCTTCAAGGGTGTTGAGAGCATATCAAGTTAGGAGGTAAGTGGACTGTGGGCCTGTAGGATTCTGGGAGCTAAGGATCTTTGGAAGTTCTTTGCACAGGGTCCATGCCACTTGCTTAGCTGGGCCGTGGGCTCTGAATTTGCCATAGAATCTTCTTCCTGAACCAGCCTCATCTTTTCCAGTTTATGCCCAGTCTATTTTACCCTAAGCTTCTCTACCTGAAACAAGTAGAGAGGGCTAGGAAGAAGAATAGGAAGGATCAAGAGTGGCGGCTAGAAGAAGAGATGGCCTTTTTGTTTCCCTTTTCTTCATTCCTCTGGCTTCACAGAGTATGACAGCTTCAATCCTCCATCCAGGCCAGGGGCCAGTTCTCTGACCAGTAGTTGGGTTTGGGAAGTTCCTAGATACGGTGTGAGGATAGATTTCAAAAGCCACCACCAGCCACATTTGCTTCTTACCTCTTTTCTGTAGATCTCTGGTTTGGGGACCTTAGGTCCTGACCAAGGCAAGCAACAGCACTTGGCAGGCTCTCATGATAAAGAGCGAGGCTGACCTGACAGCAGGAGACTCCAGCTTGGTCAGCTCCTTTGTTCCACCCCCAAGCTTGGCTGCCCCTGTCGGCTCTCCCTTACAGAGGCAGTCTTCTCCCCAGGGGCTAACATCCACAGCAAACATGCAGGCTGGAGGACTTTCCCAAGTCAATCAACAAAAAATATTACACAAGTGAGGGAGAGACGTTGTCAGGTGTGATGGAATTATCAAGGGCCATTATCTTGACATGGTGCCTGAGACCTTATTTTCCAGAGCTCACAAACTGGCGGCCTACAAACTGCTGCTTATTTGGCAATTTAAAAAAACGATGGTTTGAAGTAGATATGCTCTCCCATTGATTCTAACACCCACCACTCCGTGTCTCATAGCTGCAGCTCCACTTATTAATGTGATCAGTCTAGTCCCTGGAGGGGTTTACAACTTTTGATTTACATATTGTTAAAAACTACTTGGGTGGCTATCTTGCTCCCATTAATTCTTTTTTTTTTTTTTTTTTAACGAGATGGAGTCTCACTACGCTGCCTAGGATGGATTTGAAATCCTGGGTTTAAGGGATCCTCCTGCCTCAGGCTCTGGAGTAGCTGGGATTTCAGGCACGTGCCACCACACCTTGCTAATTCTGTCCTGCTAGTTTCTTCCCTTACAAGTAAGGTGGGTCATTATTTACCTGTGAGAAACTCAGAAATACTCACTTTTCCAGGACAGCTGGGGTGAAGAGAATATGTAGTGGCCACTGTACTTTGTAGGAAAGACCTAGGGCTGCCCAGCCAGATGCAGGGGCTTCCCGGGGAGAAGTTTCCCGAGAAGGCCCTTCTCTTGCCTGAGTAGCATCTGCTGTGATAAAGAAAAGAAAAGAAAAAAAGAAAAGATAACAACTTGGTTAATCTAGAACCAGAGATTCAACAAGTGAATAACATTAATGAAACTAGAGCTCACAGGAGTTCAAGACCAGCCTGGGCAATACAGTGAAACCCTGTCTCTACTAAAAATACAAAAATTAGCTGGGCGTGGTGGCTGTAGTCCCAGCTACTCAGGGGGCTGAGGCATGAGAATTATTTGAACCTGGAAGGCAGAGGTTGTAGTGAGCCAAGAATGTGCCACAGAACTCCAGCCTGGGCAACAGAATGAGACTCTGTCTCCAAAAGAAAAGAAACAGAGCTCACTGGAGTCTGCGATGTCAGAAGCTTACAGCGGACACAAAGAAGAGGGCAAGGACACTTTTACGTGAGGTTCTCTTGGGAGGTCTTCTAGAGATTCTTTCCTCAGCCTTAAAATCTGGGGGCTGGAAATAAACAGGGACCATTCCAGCAGCATGACAAAAAAAAACCCAACCCCCCAAAAACATGGCCTGGGCATCGCACTTAGCCTCTATGGACTTCTGGACTTTCCTTTTCTTCTCTATAGAATTATAGTACTGCATTACCTGATTTCTAAGATCCAAAATCATATGGTTTCTATGGTGGGGGATGGAAGCAGAGATGGGAAAATGGATGACCAGCAGGAACTCTAAGGTGACAGGGAGGAACAGCAAACCTTTGTGCTCCTTTCCGTGATACTCAATTGTCAAGTGCAACAGAGGGAGAAGGTTGTCATCATCTAGCAAAACCTTGTGTGCTGACTGCTGAAAGGCCACATTCACATCTGCAAGAAAGAACACAGGGGCTGACAAGGATGCTTGGCTCCGTAACAAACCCAGACTCCTCCAGCTTTCCACTTCTCCCCCAACATGCCCAGTGCTAACAGCAGGGCACAGTGGACATCTGTTGCATTTGTCTAACATCCATCCATTCTTCTCTTCTTGCTGACAAACTGCCTCCTGATTTTCCTTGGAGAATCATCCCTATTCAGTACAGTTCACATATTTCCAGTGGGTTAGTGCTAGACAACACCCGATTCTAGGGGTAGCTGGGTGATGTAGGCATGATCAAATGGAATGTAATACTCTACTCTGTTATGCTATATTGTTTAGGGATATTAACATGACCAAGCCAGGCCAATCCAGAGGCTCTATTCAGACTCTAAAAGAATCCAGCTCTTTTTTCAAGATAAACAGAGGCTTAGTAGGATGTAAACTTGGCTAGAGACTATCTGCTACCATACAGAGCAGGCCTGTCTGAGAAGAAAGAGGTGAAAGATGGAAAGAGACCAAGTCCTAAAGGTGCCACCCGCGTCACTGGATCAAACTTTGCCGAAAACCATCATACGTCTGAGCTTTTCAGTTATGAGAATCGATACATTATTTCTTTCCTTTTGCTTTGCTTAAGTGAGTTTGAATTGGATTTTCTGATATTTGCAACCACAAGTACTTATATTTGTACTATATAAGTACAGTGGACATCTATGGTTTTACTGAGTTAGAAAAATGATCAGCCTGTGTGTATGTATTTTCTCACATTTCTTTTTTTGGATCTTTACTCAACTCTATTCATGCAGTATGAATGGAAATGGCCATCAGTTGGTCAAGGGGTGGACACTTCACTGAACTAGGCATAGCCTAATGTCTGACCTCTTTGATACATGTGATGTGGGCTGGGCCAATCAAAACCTAGAGAATTCCCTAGAATTCTCTAACTTGCAACAAGAGGGACGAGGCTCACTTCCTTCAGTAGAGGACACTGTGAGGCATATTCCTGGGAGCTGCTCGTGATCATGTTTCCAGAAGGTCATCAAAGAGCTCACAAGAGACACAGACAAGATATGGTGAATGAGCAAATGAGCGCGAGAGAGAGAGAATGAATCCAAGTTGTCCCACTGGGGTTTTAGATACAATAACAAATCCATTTCCCTTTCCCAACTAGGCTAGTTTGGGTGAGTTTCTGTCATTCACACCGAAAGAATTCTACTATAACACTACAAGCAGCACTAAGTCCCAATATGACCCATAAAGGATATATGGCTATAATCCAATGAGAAAAAACACCTGGTGTGAAGGCCTGCACCAACTCTTCCAGGAAGGGTCATAGGCCAAGACACTGTTCCCAATGACCCCAGCGTGAAGCCTACCTGCAAGGGCCTTCCATCTCTGGAAGCCACTGCTCTGTAACTGACCAGGCTGCTCTTATGTGGAGGAGGCCTTAAAAGGGTCAGCAGCAGCCAAGAAATACCCTACGATGTCAATCAGTTGATCATTCTCAGGGTCACAGACAATTACCATGCTCAGTTACTGCAGTGGGCGGTGTTTTTAACATGTGTTGAGCTGTGTCAATGAAGGCCTGAAACAGTTCTCCACGTCCCAGAAGGTAAAAGTCTTTAATGATCTGAGGAAAGAATTTCAATTTACAATTCAGTAAAGCAAGGCAGGAGCTCTTCACTGTCCTGAGGAATTACACGTATACAGTAATTTCTAATTTCATCAATTTGAGCCCAAGCTACAAAAGATACAGGCATTTGGCATTTCAAAGAGGCATTCTTAGTTCCGCATAGCAGGATGACTGGTGTGTATTTGGCATTATTCATTCAATAGCAACATAATTATATATATATATGTACCAGAAAAAAGTATACTCCCAAATCTTTGTATTATAGTAGATTTTTGGCATTAGGTATAGTTTGCTCACTTGGATAAGAACAAGTGAGTCGACTCTGGAAGTCTGGGTATAGGCAACCAGTGCTCTCAGGAAATGTCAGAGAATGCAAGTCACTGCCTACCAGCATCACCGTAAGAATCACAACAACAGTTAAGCCATTACCTTCAGCTGACCCAGTAAATCAGATTCTTCTACCATCAACTTCCAGAGATGCTATGAAAACAACCAACAAAACAGGGACAAATTTCATTACAGTGAGAAGTCCTGCAAAGAATGGTTCCATACAAATCCAGCAATGTATTAAAAGAAGACTATACCTTGCCCCACACAGAAAAATTCACTCAAAAGGATCAATGTATTATTCCGTTCTCCCACTGCTGTAAAGAATACCTTAGACTGGGTCATTATAAAGAAAAGAGGTTTAGGTGCTCACAGTTCTGCAGGCTGTACAGGAAACATAGTGGCTTCTGCTTGGCTTCTAGGGAGGCCTCAGGAAACTTACAGTCATGGCAGAAGGCAAAGGCATCTCACATGGCAGGAGTAGGAGCAAGAGACAGCAAGGGGGAGGTGCTGCACACATTTAAACAACCAGATCTCACGAGAACTTACTATCGTGAGGACAGTACCAAGGGGAATGGTGCTAAACCATTCATGAGAAACAGCCTCATGATCCAATCATCTCCCACCATGCCCCACCTCGCCCTACCTCCAACACTGGGGATTACAACTCAAGAAATTTTGGTGGGGACACAGATCCAAGCATATCAATCATAGACCTGGGTATAAAAATGAAAACTATAAAATTTCTGGAAGAAAACAGAAGAGAAAATCTTTATATCCTTGAGTTAGACAGAGTTCTTAGACATAATACCAAAAACATGATCCATAAAAGAAAAAAAAAAGGTAAACTGGATTTCATCAAAATTAACAACTTCTGGGACAAGTCATAAACTGTGAGAAAATAGGCCGGGCACGGTAGCTCATGCCTGTAATCCCAGCACTTAGGGAGGCCGAGGTGGGTGGATCACAAGGTTAGGAGTCTGAGACCATCCTGGCTAACACGGTGAAACCCCATCTCTACTAAAAGTACAAAAATTAGCCAGGTGTGGTGGCAGGCACCTGTAGTCCCAGCTACTTGGGAAGCAGAAGCAGAAGAATCACTTGAACGTGGGAGGCAGAGCTTGCAGTGAGCTGAGACCATGCCACTGCACTCCAGCCTGGGCAACAGGGTAAGACTCCATCTCAAAAAAAAAAAATTGTGAGAAAATATTTGTAGGTCACATATCTCTTAAAGAACTTAAATTCAGAATACATGAAGGACTCTCAAAATTCAACAACAAGAAAACAAAAACCCAATACAAAATGGGCAAAGAGGCACATGAAAAAATGTTCAACCTCACTAGTCATTACAGGCATGCAAATGAAAAAGACAATGGGAAATCTCAGCACTTTGGGAGGCCGAGGCGGGCGGATCACGAGGTCAGGAGATCGAGACCAGCCTGGCTAACATGGTGAAACCCCGTCTCTACTAAAAACACAAAAAATTGGCTGGATGTGGTGGCGGGTGCCTGTAGTCCCAGCTGCTCGGGAGGCTGAGGCAGGAGAATTGCCTGAACCCGGGAGGCAGAGGTTGCAGTGAGACGAGATTGCGCCACTGCACTCCAGCCTGGGCAACAGAGTGAGACTTTGTCTCAAAAAAAAAAAAAAAGAGTATTTTTTATATATATATATCATAGGTGATACAGAGGACATATGTATAATAAAAGGAAAAGCACAACATTTATTATAAATATGCGCATGCCTCACAGGTATCCTCAAAATGTACAATTAGAACATACATAGAAATCTATACTCGACACAGAATATACATTCTCCAGGCACATGTAGGACAGCTAAAAACAAAAACCAGACCCTGTATTAGTCCATAAAGAAACCTGCAATAGATTCCAAAGAAACAATATCATACAGACCATGCTCTCAAACTATAATGCAATAAAATTAAAACAATAAATTCCTTGGTTAAAAAATCATAAACAAAATTAATTAGAATTATATAGACTATAATGAAAACACTACATGCCAAAAACTTGTGAGACACAGTAAAAACAATATGCAAAGTTTTATATATATTTCTCAGAAAACACAGGTTAAAAATAAAGGAGTCAAGCTTTCAAACTGGTTAAGAGTAACTAAAAAAAAAACACGAAGGAAGAAAATAATAAAGAAAAAGGCAGATATCAATGAAACAGAGAATTCAAACAAAATATACATATATATGTGTGTGTATATATCTCTTATTTTATTTTATTTTTATTTTATTTTATTTTGAGATGGAGTCTCACTCTACTGCCCAGGCTGGAATGCAGTGGCGCCATCTCAGCTCGCTGCAACCTCTGCCTCTCAGGTTCAAGCAATTCTCCTGCTTCAGCCTCCCGAGTAGCTGGGACTAGAGGCGCGCACCACCGCACCCGGCTAATTTTTGTAGTTTATTTTAGTAGGGACAGGGTTTTGCCACATTGGCCAGGCTGGTCTCAAACTCCTGACCTCAAGTGATCTGCCTGCTTCGGCCTCCCAAAGTGCTGGAATTACAGGCGTTAGCTACTGCACCTGACCCCAAAATATACATTTAAAAAATAAAATTAAAAAAAGAAAAAGCCTGGTGGGCACAGTGGCACATGCCTATAGGCCCAGTTACTCGGGGGGCTGAGGCAGAAGCTTCACTTGAGTCTAGGAATTCTGGGCGTAGTGTGCTACACCAATTAGGTGTCCACAATAAATTCGGCATCAATACCGTGACCACTTGGGAGTGGGGGACCACCAGGTTGCCTAAGGATGGGTAAACTGGTCCAGGTCAGAAATGAAACAGGTCAAAACTGTAGTGCTGGGGCGTGGTGGCTCACACCTGTAATCCCAGCACTTTGGGAGACTGAGGTGGGATGAGTGCTTGAAGCCAAGACTTCTAGACCAGCCTGGGCAACACACTGAGACTCCGTCTCTACAAAAAGTTTAAAAGTTAGCAGGGCATGGTGATTTACACCTGTAGTCCTAGCTACTCAGGAGGCTGAGGCAGGAGGATTGCTTTACCCTAAGAGTTCAAGATTACAGTGAGCTATGATCACAACACTGCACTCCAGCCTGGGAGACAAAACAAGACCCTGTCTCTGGGAAAAAAAAGAGAATGAAAGGCCAGGTGCTTTGGCTCATGCGTCTAATCCCTGCACTTTGGAAGGCTGAGGCAGAAGGGAGGATCGCCTGAGCCCAGGAATTGGAGGCTGCAGTGAGCTAGGATTACACCACTGCACTCTAGCCTGGGCAACAGAGTAAGAAGAGTAAGACTGTATCGCCAAAAAAAAAAAAAAAAAAATTAACCAGGCATGGTGGCACGCTCCTCTAGTCCCAGCTACTTGGGAGGCTGAGACGGGAAATCCACTGAGCCTGGAGGTCGAGCTGCAGTGACTCATGATTGCACCACTGCTCTCCAGCTTGGGTGACACAGCGAGAAGCTATCTCTAAAAATTTTTTTTTAATTAAAGAAAAAGCCAGGCCCAGTGGCTCACGCCTGTAATCCCAGCACTTTGAGACGCCGAGGTGGGTGGATCACTTGAGGTCAGGAGTTCGAGACCAGCCTGGCCAACATGGTGAAACCCCATCTGTACTAAAAATACAAAAATTAGCTGGATGTTGTGGCACATGCTTGTAATCCCAGCTACTCAGGAGCTGAGGTGGGAGAATCCCTTGAACCTGGGAGGTGGAGGCTGAAGTGAGCTAAGATTGCGTCAATGCACTCCAGCCTGGGCCACAGTGAGACTCTGTCTCAAAAAAAAAAAAAAAAAGAAAAAGAAAAAGAAAAAAGGATAAAAACAAAAGCTTGTTCTTTGAAAAGACTAATAAGACTAAACAATAAAAAGAAATTCTAAATAAATAAAACATAAATGACTACAGATTTTTACAAATTAAATCTATATGAAATAGGTAAATTCCTAGAAAATACCAAAATTAATACAAGAAATAACTGGTTTATGTCAACAGGTTTTAAATACACTGAACTAGTTAAGTTTGCCCTCCTAAAAATATCTAGCTTAGATTATTTTTCAGGTAAATTCAAACTTTCAGTAAGAATTCCTATCTTATATAAACTGTTCTTAAAAAATAGAAAAAGAACAAAACCCAACTAGCCCATTTTATGAGGACCGTAGAGTCTTTATTCCAAATCCACATAAGCAAAATACAGGGAAAGAAGGGTATAGTCTTATTTCATTGGTGACACGGTGTGGCTGTGTCCCCACCCAAACCTCATCTTGAATTGTAGCTTCCATAATTCCCACGTGTCGTGGGAGGAACCCAGTGGGAGGTGATTGAATCATGGGGGTGGTGTTTCTCATGCTGTTCTTCTGAGAGGGAATAAATCACTCTTATAAAGGGGTGATTTATTTTATAACAAATTACATTTTTTATATTTTTTTATAGTATTTTATAAAGGGGAGTCCCCCTACACAAGCTCTCTTGCCTGCTGCCATGTAAGACCTGACTATGCTCCTCATTCGTCTTCAGCCATGACTGTGAGGCCTCCCCATCTATGTGGAACTGTGAGTTCATTAAACCACTTTCCTTTACAAATTCCCCAATCTTGGGTATGTCTTTATTAGCAGCACGAGAACAGACTAATACAACTAGTGATTACAGATGTAAAACATCACAATCAAGTAGTGTTTATCTCAGGAAGAACCAGCATCTCCAAATCTAACCAGAAATTTATCATATAAATAGACTAAAAGAGAAAAATAGCCCAGAGCAAGAAACTGAACCTTAATTGATACAGAAAGAGCACTTGATAAAATTCAACATCTACTTATGATAAAAACCTCTGGACTGGGTATGGTGGCTCACAGAAGGACCACCTGAGCCGAGGAGTTCAAGACCAGCCTGGGCAACATAGCAAGACCCCATCTCAAAAAGTAATCATAAAAATAGAAGGAAAGTTCTCTCATTTGCAGATGGTATGGTCATCTGCTTAGAACAACTGATATAATCAGACTATTAGAACTAAAAAGAGTTCAACGAGTTGCAAGGTATAAGATTAACCTACAAAAAGAATTACCACCATTTCTCTATGTAAGCAGTAAAAGCTAACAAAAGACATAATTAAAATAGAAACTATTAAGTACTTCAGAATTTTTAAAACCTTTTTAAGTACTAAAATACATACAGAAAAGTACAAGTCATAAGTTCACAGCTTGAAGATTTTTACAAATTGAACACCTGTATTACCAGCACCCAGATCAAGAAATGGAACCAACTGAGTATTCCAGCATCCTAGAGGCCCCGCTCATGCCCCTCCCACTGACTGAAAGGCAAATACAGTCCTGACTTCTAGCGCCAGGTTCACTTCGCCTGTGTTTGAACTTTACAGAAATAGATTCACATAGTACACACACTTTAAAGGAAAAATTTTTTACAGGAGAGAAAGAATTCCAAAAGGGATAAATATAACACATATTTACAAAACACTCCCCCTTTTTCCTTCAGGGCACACCATTTCTTTTCATTGCTGTAGGCTGTTATTGTTGCAATAATGCTTTCCAAAGTCTATTAGCTACAATTCTAAGAAACTCCAAAGAGCCTGTGCTTCAGTTTGCTTATCATTTTTACAAATTGGAACATAATTTCTAGCAAACTTTCACAAGAAAAAAACAATTTTTCCTATTGTTTATAATTCACTCAGTACAATTTTACTTTCCTCCATTAATTATATTTTCCAAAGATTTGTAATAAAAATGATAAGACAACAGAAATATACAATTTTCAAAAATGAAAGGAACTGATATCAACCCCTCTAGACTAGAACCTGCCTTGGCCTATAGACGGGGGTGAGGCAATGTCTTAAAATTTTGAAAGGACAGGAACATGGGTCATTTAGATATTTACTTGCCCAGAAAGAATCAAATCAAACAATACTTCACAGCCATTTTAAGACTGAACATTCTGTGTCTACAACACAGTTCTATCTGTGATGACCAGGAGTTTTTGAGACAGTAACTAGAAAGGGAAACCATATTTATAAAAGATTACTGTGCTTCCAACCCATGGAGAGTTGATGCTCTTAGCAGTTCCAGACACTGAGCGAAGTGCACTGCTTTTTAGTTCTATTTTCAGAATCCCCTGTAGAGGTTTGTCTTTGGTGGATGGACTGGCTTGCTTAAATAGAAGTTCCTACTGGGCGTGGTAGCTCACACCTGTAGTCTCAGTACTTTAGGAGGCCAAGGCAGAAGGATCGCTCGAGCCCAAAAGTTCAAGACTAGCCTGGCCAACATGGCGAAACCCCCATCTCTATTAAAATACAAAAAAGTTTGCCAAGCATGCTGGTGCAGGCCTGCAGTCCCAGCTACTCAGGAGGCTGAGGCACGTGAACTGCTTCAACCTGGGAGGCGGAGGTTGTAGTGAGCCATGATCACTCCACTGCACTCCAGCCTGGGCGACAAAGCAAGACCCTGTCTAGAAAACAAAACAAAACAAAACAAAAGTACTGACCCTCTACTGACCTACGAATCAGAAGGTCTGGAAGTAAGGACTTGGTGCAAGTGCAGGTTTTAAAATTTCCTCACGCGGGCCAGGCATGGTGGCTCACGCCTGTAATCCCAGAACTTTGGGAGGCTGAAGTGGGAGGATCACTTGAGCTCACAAGTTTCAGACCAGCCTGGCCAACATGGTGAAACCCCATCTCTACTAAAAATACAAAAATTAGCAGGGCGTGGTAATATGTGCCTGTAATCTCAGCTACTTGGGGGGCTGAGGCAGGAGAATTGCTTGAACCTGGGAGGTGGAGGTTGCAGTGAGCCGAGATCACGCCATTGCACTCCAGCCTGGGCAACAGAACAAGACTCCATAAAAAAAATAAAAATAAACACTAAAATTTTCTCATGCGATCCTATGCTTAGCCAATGTTGAAAGCCATGAATATAGTTAACAACGCAGTTGACTAAATGTCTCATTTCATGTTATCACACATCCATGAGACAAATGTTAATATAAGCCACAGAACCTATATGCTCCTTTGAAAACTTACTGGTCACAATTTAAGTCGGTGGCAGCAGCACAATTCAAAATGAGGACGACTGCGCTCCAGGAGTCGGAGGCCTGGCACTGACTTCACTATGGCAACTCACTGTGCCACACCAGACAAGCCAGACAAGTCAGCGTGCTGAGTGTTTGCTCCATTTATAAGAATGAGAAAATGATACTTGTTCTGCTTTCCTCATAAGATGATTGTGTATTTAAATGAAAGTACAAGTTATAAGCCATACTAAACTACAAGAAAGACACTAAATTTAGTCAGAATTAGTTGATGCCTAGGAGTTATTGCAAACGATAGAGACAGATCCAAAATGCGATTTTCAAAATTTAAACCAAGACCTCCCCTTTATTCAACTAACTAACCAACTAAAAACAACCTGTTTTTTAGTTAGATAGGAAAATGGGAAGGCAGTTCTGCCTCTGTTAATGAAAACTGAGGCTTTTCTTTTTCTGCTTCCTGCCTTCAACTCTCTGCAACAGCTCTTTCCAAGCTCAGTTCTTACCACATCAAGAAAAAAACAAAAGTCAAGTAACTCAATTTCTTTCTTTCTTTTTTTTTTTTCTTTGAGACAGAGTCTTGCTCTGTTGCACAGGCTGGAGTGCAATAGCGTGATCTCAGCTGACAGCAACCTCTGCCTCCCAGGTTCAAGCGATTCTCCTGCCTCAGCCTCCTAAGTAGCTGGGATTACAGGCGCCTGCCACCACACCCGACTAATTTGTGTATTTTTAGTAGAGACGGGGTTTCACCATGTTGGCCAGGCTGGTCTTGAACTCCTGACCTCAGGTGATCCACTTGCCTTGGCCTCCCAAAGTGTTGAGACTACAGGCATGAGCCACCGTGCCTGACCAAGTAACTCAATTTCTAGGGAACTAGTCTAATTTTTTTCTAGAAAAAGAAAAAAATATATATATAATATATATACACACACACATATATGACGAAACACAAACCTCAGCCACAGTGCTGCGAATGCGATCCACCACCTGTTCAAAGTCCACCAAGCTGAAGAGTGGCTGCTGCTTGAGACGGTGCAGCTCTGCAGCAAAAGTGTCTTCCTGGTTTTTCAAAATGGATCCTGCAAAATAGGAAGGCACCATCAAAGGAGGACAGAGAATACCCAGGACAGTCAGGGTTTTCTGGGGAGGGCTAATCTCGGTGGGGCAGCAACTTCACCTGCTTCTCAGACAAATGTCATGATTCTGCTACAATCTCAGGATAGGAATATTATCGACCACTCAGCTCTGACCAGGCATGCTGGGGGGCCACACAGTGTTAAGAAGAGCTTTTGAGGGTGCGGTACATTGGACAAGGAGATTTCTACCTTTTCTAGTCAGGTTCACATTTTGATTCTCAAACATCTGGACAGATTCTCCAACAAATAGGATTTTTTCAGCAACCCTCACTGGAATGTAGGATGGCAAAATCTCCACTCGTAGGGAAAACTGCTTCAGAGATGGTGCCAGCATGTTCTCTTCCTCAATCAGGCGCTAGTCAAGGAAAGAGTACACATCAAGATGAAGTACGAAGCAAGAAAAGGAAAACAAGAAAATATCTAGTAACTCTCCCAACCCATGATTTAAAGTAAAGACGCAGGGACTTCAAATCTGGTGTTGCACAGTTCTCGAACCACCCATTTTGGAGAGACGTATTTCATCTTCAGGCAGCAGAGTGGCATGGTGGAAGTAAGAGTGGCTTTTTAAATACTGGGACTTGGGCCTTCACTCTGCCTTTACTACTGAGTAAACACTTGCACAGTTGACCAGCTTCCTTACTTATACAATGAAAGAGGTGGTCTTTTTTGTTTTCCAGGTCTTCTCTCTCTGTCTGCTCTGCTGGTGCTCCTCAGGGCACTGTCCCAGACTGTCTTTTCCTCTCAGCCTACACTTCTTATACAATCACATCATCTTCTGTGACTGATCAGTGGAACAGATAGTTCTAATTTTTAGGTCACAGACTTCTCTGCAATCATAAAAGCTATGGACCTTCCAGACAAATGTACAGAAATATCACATTTCATGAACCTTCTGAAGCCACCCAAGGGCCCCAGATTAAAAATCTCCAAGCTCCATGCTGATGATTCCATAGGTAGATTTGGAGCAAGCTGGAGTGCTCTCATGAGCCCCAGGTTCAGCCCACTGAACATTTCCCACAAGTTCCTCAAACTCAACATGCCCGCCATTAGACCCATCTTCTTCCCCGCATACCAGCAGTATACACCCCTATCATGACTACTTGCCCAGTTGCTGAAGGCAGAAACCTGGGTATCATCAATGACTCTTCCCTCTTGACTCATTTCCAAGCACTCACTAGGCCTATCGATTCCACCTTCTAAACATCTCTCACACCTCTTTACTCTTTTTTCATATTCAATGTTAGTATCTTTGGTTTAGGGGACTATTATTTTCACCTAAGTCTCCCCAACACTCTCTTAACTGGTCGACTGGCCTCTAATCTTGATTTTTAAAAAAATGATTCCCCATACAGCATCCAGAGTGATTTATCATGAAGTCTGGCTGTGGTACCCACTTGCTTAAAATTCAATAGCCCTCAACTCTTTTCAGGTTCAAGTACAAATTCATTTCTACTGTTTACATGCACCTTTGTGATCTTGCCTCTGCTTAACTCAAGTTTCATCAAGTACCAACTTAAAAGTTTCAAGTACCACCTCTCCCTCACACCATCTCTTATAATATTTTACTTCAGTCTTTACTTGACCATTTCAATTGAATTACTACTGTTTCCCTAAATGAACCATGTCCTTAATGGCCCCTGTACCTTTACACAGATCATTCCTTCTGCCTGGATATCTCTTGATCACTCCTCCCAAACTCTTTGCCATTTAGACATACCTTCCACTGAGAAGCCTTCTCTAGTCACTCCAAGACCCTATCCCATGACCATGTTCCAAGAATACCCATATTTAGTCTTTTCAGAGCACTTAGTACACTGTAATGTAACTTTTCTACATATTCTAAATATTACATTTTCTGTAATGTTTACTTTTCTACATATCTTCCCCTAAGCTATGAGCTCCTTAGGGACAGAGACTACTGCTTTTTATTTGTATCACCTAGAACAATGCCTGGCACATAACAGGCATTCAATGAAATACTGCCACAGGATAAATGAATGAATGGATGGATGGATGGATGAATATGGACACTGTACAACTTTGAGGAGTCTAATCAAAACACCAAATGGCCAGGTGCGGTGGCTCACGCCTGTCATCCCAGCACTTTGGGAGTCCAAGGTGGGTGGATCACCTGAGGTCAGGCATTTGAGACCAGCCTGGCCAATATGACAAAACTCCGTCTCTACTAAAAATCTGAAAATAAAAAATATGAAAATGAGCCAGGCGTGGTGGCACACACCTGGTCCCAGGTACTTGGGAGGCTGAGGCAGGAGAATTGCTTGAACCTGGGAGGCAGCGGCTGCAGTGAGCCAAGATTGCGCCATCACACTCCAGCCTGGGCGACAGGTGAGAATCTGTCTCAAAAAAAAAAAAAAAGAAAAAAACTCCAAACTGTATTTAAAATCTAAAACGTAGCTAGCTATTCCATTAGAGTAGCTATATCTATATAAGTAAGACTTATAATCTCTTAAATGCATATATTGGGAAAGCGGAAACAAAAAGAATCTCACAAACATATTTTCTATTTTATAGTCTCACACCAGTTAAGATAAAGCCAAATGTTTACATCCAAAGAATTGATGGAAGGTGCTCAGCTATGAGCTAAGAAGGGATCACCAGAAGATCATTTGGCTGCATGCTTTTCTGACTCCTGGTAGGAGGGTGCTAGGCTGCTTTTTGGGCTCTCACCAAGTCCTGGAGTTCTCTCAGTTGTTTTCCTGTCAGTCCCCCAATGCCCAGATCCTCCTCGTCCTCTTCTGGCTGAGCACTGACATTACCAGAAGATGGACCCTGTTTGATAAAGAATTCTTCATGCTGGTCCAAGAGGAGTCCGTGGAGCATCCAGGCTGACAGTTGTTTATACATGACCCCATGACAAACGGCCAGGATTCTGGGCAGAGCGGAAAGTAAGAGGCTTAGAAGTCATGCTTTAAACTGTTACACGATAAACAGAGGTCTGAGAGTTTGATGAGTCATAAGGGAAATAACCAATTAAGTTAAAAATAATTGTGCTATTTTAATTTAAATGTGGGTGAACTAACTCACTGAATTTCCATATTTGCAGCCTACATAATGAAATCTAAAATGTTCAGTATATGTGCTGATATTATTTTAGGGAAGACATTTTCTTCCCTTCTTTTATGTAATTTTCAAAACTGATGGATCCTAAATATGTACAACTGTTTGATAGCAATAAAAAATAAAAATAATAAAAAATTTTAAAAATGGACTTAATGGAGTCTCTTTTTGGCTACCACAGTATTAAATGTGTTTTATTTTTGTTGGAATCACATAGGGAGAGAGCATCCATGCGTGAGGGCCAGGTATACACGAGAAACTATTATCTAGCAAAATTCAGAAACTAAAACAAAATGCAGAATGGTTTTTGGGGAACAGGCTATTCAGATGGTCTCAACGGATCATCCACCAGATAGTGTATTAATTAAAAGGGGAACATGTACCTCTACAATGGAGCAGTACGTGATGAAAACACCTAAGCCAAGCGATCCAACGGCACAACACCAGTCATGGGGTAAACTTACTTTCTGTGCCTTCTAATATGATGTAATGGGAAATAATACCACCTACATAGTATTCTTGCCAAAAAAGTTTAATCCAGATCTAATCATAGGGAAACAATAAATCCAGATTGTGGAACATTATACAGGACAGCTGGTCAGGACTCTTAAAATGTTGACGTCATCCACAACACCAAGAACAACAAAAGGCAAGGGGGATGGTTCTAAATTAAAAGAGACTAAAAAGACATGAGAACAAAATGTAGTATGTGAACACTGATTGGATCCTGGACAGGAAAAAAAAAGAAGAATAGCTATGAAGGAATTCTGGGGGACAACTAGAAAAATTTGGATATAGTATTATTGAATTAATGTTAGCTTTCTTGGGTGTAATATGGAATTGACGTTCTATAAGAAAATCCCTTTTTATTTTCTTTCTTTTTCTTTTTTTTTTGAGACAGGGTCTCACTCTGTTGCCCAGGCTGGAGTGCAGTAGCATGATCATGGCTCACTGCAGTTTCGACCTCCTAGACTCAAGCCATCCTCCCACCTCAGCCTCCTAAGTAGCTGGGCCCACAGGGGCATACACCATGCTTATTTTTTTTTTTTTTTGTATTTGTAGAGATGGGGTCTCACTATGTTGCCTGAGCTGGTCTCCTAGGCTCAAGCTATCCACCCAACTTGGCCTCTCAAAGTGCTAGGAACACAGGTGTGTGCCACCATGCCCAGCCAAGAATGCCTTTTTTCTAAAGTGATATAAGATGAAGTATTTAGGGGTTAAGTGTTGGGATATCTGTGACTACTTTCAAATGATTCTGCAAAAAAAGTTTGTGTATTTCACATATATGTATAGAAGGAGAAAAAGAGAAATCAAATGTGGGAAATGTTAACAAATGGTGAAACTAAAGGATATACTAGCGTTTGTTTGGGTTTGTTTTTTGTTTTGAGACAGGGTCTCGTTCTATCATCCAGGCTGGCTTACAGTGGCGAGATCTCAGCTCAACCTCCTGGGCTAAAGCAATCCTTCTGCCTCAGCTTCCCATAGCTGGGACTACAGGCAGGCACCACACCTGGCTAATTTTTTCATTTTTAGTACAGACAGGGTCTCACTATGTTGCCCAGGCTGGTCTCAAACTCCTGGGCTCAAGTGATCCCTCTGCCTCAGCCTTCCAAAGTGCCGGGATTGTAAGTGTGAGCCACCGAGCCCGGCCTACAAGTGTTTTGTTATACGTTTCTTTCAACTTTTTTGTAGGTTTAACATTTTTTAAAATAAAAGGTTGGGAGAAAAAGAAATTACAAGAGCTTGAGCATGTTATTTGTAGTATGCTAACTGAATGGAATCTCGCTTTAAAAACATCACATGTGAAGCTATTTACATTTATGCATTTCTGAGTATGTGGTCTGTAAAGTTTGGTCCCTACAAACACAGAACAAACATGTATATACAATATCATCTACATAAGATTTCATATTCCATACACAAAAGTATAATAGAGAATAATTAAGTCCCTAAGGCATGTTCTGGAAAGTTTCCCGCTGTAATGAGGGTTTACTCATGTAGTGGTAAGAGCGGAGATTAAGAGCTGTGAGTGGCCTGGCCAGGTGCGGTGGCTCACACCTGTAATCCCAACACTTTGGGGAGCCAACATGGGAGGATCGGTTGAGCCCAGGAGTTCAAGACCAGCCTGGGCAACACAGCAAAACCTCATCTGTATAAAAAATTAAAATAAAATAAGAAAAAAGGAAAAAACAAAGAGAGCTGTGAGTGGCCTCAGGAAACCATCTATTACAATTTTTCAATGAATGTCACAATTTTTTTAAAACAAGGAAAATGGAGAAATGGAAAGATCAAACAGGCAGTCTTTGATCACACTCTACACATATTTTTATGCAGTTGTAATCACAAGATAAATACAATTTTGTATCATTTGTCAGTATATATTTATACAAAATATTTTGCATGTGATAGTACCTATACTTTTAGTGGCTTTATAGTCTATCAAGTGAACATATCATTATTTGAATTTTCTTCTACTGTAATTTTCTAATTTCCTGATATAGTACACAACATTGCAATGAACATGTTTGTGTATATAGTTATTTTCTTCTATTAAATAATTTTGTTAGGATAAAATTCCTAAGAGTGGCATCATGGGATTATAAAGCATAAACATTTTTAAGGACCTTCAATTTGAAAATACCAGCTACTCAAATACACATGTTTAGACATAGCAAGCAACATCTGGCACATGTAATGGAATTCCTGCAAGGATAACAAGATCTAAACATTTAAAAACATTGCCTCAAGGTCATCCAGGCAGCTAAATCCTGGTTTTGACACTCAACACTCTATAGCCCTTTGCAATGCCTGAGCCATAATAAAGGCTACATGGGCTCTTCTGCTCATGGAGCTTTTTCTATCCTGGTCATAACCTTCCCAAGAGGGAAACCTGAAATGACCTGAAAATAAAACATGTGAGAACTCAAATAATTTGACCACCCACCTCCACCACCGACTCCCAGTTAAGCCATGACTTACTTTTCCAGTGCACTTCGAACAGGAGGCAACCCCCCACAGCTGTGTTTGTAGACTGTTTCCAGAATTTGACAACCATGAATCTGGAAAATACGGCCTTGTCAAACTGGATTCCATTCTAACAGTCCATGCAAGACAAATTCTTATTCCATATTCAACCAAGAGGGCACAATCTAGGAGAGATTGGGGATAAACTTTCTCCTAAGATTTACATATAGTGGTTCTCAAAGAGGGACCACTCTCCCATCAGCGGCATCACCTGGGGGCTCATTAGACACGCAAACTCTTGGTTAAAACCCAGCACTCAGTGGTTCCACAAGCCCTCCAGGTGATTCTAATGCACAGTAAAGTATGAGAACCACTGCACTTAAAGCAACCAGAATCATTTAGAGTTGGAACACCAAAGCCAAGGAAAGCTCTTTATTTCAAGTTAAGGTCCAATTCAGTCTACTTCTAAAGTACATACTTTTTCAAAAATCCTCTGCCTCTATGTTCTTCAGACTTTTAATTTTACCACTTTGAGGTATAATTTACCATGAAATTCACTCGTTTTAAGCATACTGATCAACAATTTTTAATAAATTTCAAACACTGGGCAACCATTACCACAATCCAGTTTACAACATTTCCATTGCTCCAAAAAGCCCCTTTGTGCCTGTTTGCAATCAATCTCCATTCTCGCCCCCAGCCTAGAATCTTGACCGCCTGATTTGTAAAAACTCTGAAGAGCCTTGGTACACTAGTTTCTCTACCACCATCCTGGCAGGAAGGAAGATTCACCCATCTGCAATCCCCCTCTTTTCCACTCTCCTTACCATAGCCAGCAGAAGTTGAAGGCCAACCAAGACGTGCAGCTAGGCCTGGCTTCCTTATGCTGTCCTCTTTAGCTCTACTTGCCTAGAAGGTCCCCTTTAATTCTGGGAGACAGTTTAATCTAGTGGTTAAGAGCACACTCTTTGGAGCTAGATAGAGCTGGGATATAAACCCATTTGCTACTATCTGTGTGACGCTGGGCATATCCCTTAACCTACTTAGCCCTTTAGTGGATTGTGTGTGATATTGTATTTAAGGCACTTAGCACAGTGTCTAGTACGCAACAAGTGACAGTAAAAGCTGCATGTTGTTATTTGATGAGGGCAATTAGTTTTGAAGGGCCAATGAGCACCCACTACTGGCTTTGCTGGCACAGCATGAATGTAGCAGAGCACTTGTTTCTACACTTACACAGTTAAAAATGACGCAGCAATGTGGCAGATTAATTGGTTTACTAGTTATATTAATGAAACTGAACACGCCTAATAAGCTAAGGCACAAATAAAAATCTTTAAAAAATGAAGACTTGAACTAAAGATGTTTAATCCATTTGTCCACTTGATTCAGTTGTAGACCAATTCAATAGGACAGCAGATTCTTCTAATATGAAATCTCAAAGCATTTATTCCTCAGAATTATTAACTGCCCAGAAAGGCAGTCTCCTGACTTCTCAATACACCTGATAAAAACTTGTGATAAGAATAGGCTTATTTAATAAACATCTGGCCTTCACTCACTGATCTCAAAATTCTCAGAAAGCTGCCAGCACACTAACCGTAAACCTATTACCTTCCTCCTAAGAATTAACTTTCTGCTTCACACCCAACAGTTCTAAACTCTTACTGCAGGTTCCTCTCACCTGCAAACATCCACAGCATTTTTTTTCTTACCCCAACAACATTCTTGGGCACATCTACTAACATTTCCTCTATCTTCTGGACCAGGAGGTGTTTAAAGACAGAGTCATATTTTTGCATTCCTGACACTTAACATGATAACCAGGTAGATATTGAATGAATGAATGAATAAATAAAAACTACTAAAAACTAGGGTCTTCGAAAAAGAATGTACAGCAAGATTAATTAGTAATATTTCCTCAGTGCTTAGCAAAGCAAAAGGAATAAGGAAAGTTCTCACCTTTTGACTTTTAATTTGTTCCACTACAACCATCACAGAGGGAAAAAGAAGCTGAAACTGCAAAGTAGAGAATAATTAGAAGGGTATGTAATCAAATGTAAGGGAAAAAAAAATCAACTCAGGAAATGCTTTTGTTTCTAAACAGTTCAACTTAAGATAAAATGGCAATACCAAAGAACAGTCAAGATTCAGTATCCTAAGGCAACTGGATGTGGAGGTTCACTGCAGATAGGAAGAGGACGGCAGAGAGAAGCAGTTTCTTTCTTTCTTTTTTTTTTTTTTTTGAGACAGGGTCTCACTCTGTCACCCAGGCTGGAGTATAGTGGTGGGATCCCAGCTCACTGCAACCTCCGCCCCTGGATTCAGGAGATCCTCATGCGTCAGCCTCCCGACTAGCTGGGACTACAGGTGCACACCACCACAACCGACTAATTTTTGTATGTTTAGTAGAGATGGGGTTTCACCATTTTGGCCAGGCTGGTCTCCAGCTCCTGACCTCAAGTGATCCAACCGCCTCAGCCTCCCAAAGTGCTGGGATTACAGGCATGTATCACCATGCCCAGTAGGGAAGCAGTTTCTATTTCTGAGGCTGGCATACTTGTTAATACTGATGTCAATATAGAGCAGTAATATTAGCATTAATATCAGACATTAAGTTTTAACCATATTTGGAAATCTTTAAACAGTTTTGATCTAGTAAAGCATACAAAATGCACAAAATATAAAATGTTAGGCGCTGAATCCGGAAGAAAAAAGTTCTCAAAAATAGTATCATAAATTAGATTATTCTAACACTATCAACAGATTGCAAGGCATTTGGTTATTTGGTCAGCATACCTGGTCTAGGGAGTAGTTGACATGTGATATGGAGAGATGGGGATCACCCAGGAACTGCAACAAAACACGCTGTGATTAGGGCTCCACACAAAATATCTCAAATCTATTTGATCTACAAAAATGAGAAGAGAATCTCATGATGGGCTTAGTATTAATTTTAGGCTATTGAGAACCGATAATTTAATCAGGTTATTAATCCTGATTTTCAGGCCATAAAGAAACCAAGCCAGGGCTCTTAAAACTCACCAAAGAGTCTGTGCCATGATCTGTAAGCCACTCTGATCACAGGCTGGGCAATCACTGAGAGGACACTGCAGGAAATTGCTCACTCTTAACTACCTGACCTTATCAAAGGGCATTTCAGATTCAAGAACATGCCCTAATCCACTATCCCAGAGGTGTTTCCTGTATCTCCTCCTTCTTACCTCTTGTTCCAAATCAAGCAGTGCTTGGCGATAAGGCTGCAAAACAGAATCCAGCCCTGTGCAGAAGGCCCTCAGGTAGATTCCATGTAACCCACCTTGGCCCTGCTGAGATGGATGGTGATCCTGAAATCAAACAAACAGAAGCCAACTTCTCAGCTCAGGCCCTGAAACTTGAGAAAGACATTATCTGGCTTGTTCCTTTTCAGAGTTCTATAAACAAACCAATTAGAGGTCTTGCCTTCACTTGAATATTTCCAGTGATGAGAAATCCATTACTTATTTCACATGAATTACCGATAAATTCACTGAAAGCTTGACACAGCTCCTGCCCTCTAGAGGTGTACACCCACCGAGAACAGGACCCACCTGTTGTTGCACATGGCCCGTGTACTGCTCAATGAACTCAGTGAAGCGAATATAGTCTGTGCCGAGCCGGCAGAGTCGATTCAGGACACTGGTCTCACTGGGGTGGAGGAAAGGGAAGTCCTGCGATACCTGTGGGAAGAGGAACACTACCGAAAACACTGCCAGTCACTGCCTCAACTCTCAGGCACTTCAAATGCTTCATACTACACACTTACCGTTTCTTTCTCAAGATGTCCACTGAAAGGTGTTAAGTTCTGAATAACAATGTATTTCCAAACCACTTCAAAGGGGTTCCCTATCCCTGACCCAATTATTTGCTTCTTAAATTAGGTAACACACGCTAAATAATTTAAACAATACAAAATAGCGTACATTAAAAATAAGTCAACCACCCCAGAAGCAGCCGCTATTACCTACTTCTTAAGCAATCTTCTAGGGATGGTCTATAAGGATATGGGGGTTTTGACCTGGTTGCCACTAAGTCTCAGCAACATTGCTCAAACAGGGGTCTGCAGACTCTATGGGTTTCTCAGACATATTCTTAGGATTTACAAATTCTCTATTAAAGTTTTCATTCCAGTAAAAATCTAAAATTAAACATACTATTATCTGTAAATGTACCTTATAACTGGCCATATAAATTTAGTGTCCATATTTGCATTTGTATTTTTAATTCAAATGAAACCCAAATGATAGCCTAATATGCTATATATATAAAGGTTTCACAGCAGTTCAGGTAGAAAAAAGTAGTAGGAAAATATATTCCTTCAACCAACTTTTTAAAAACACTGTGGTAAAATGCATATAACAAAATCTACCATTTTAGTTATTTTAAGTATATAGTTCAGTGGTATGAAGAACATTCACAGTGTTGTACAACCATCACCACCATCCATCTCCAGAACTTTTCTGTTTGCCCCAAATGAAACTCCGTATCCAGCCCCTGCCAAACACCACTCTGCTGCCTGTGACTTTGACTACTCTAGTTACCTCATCCAAGTGGAATCATTCAGGCTGGGAGCAGTTGCTCACGCCTGTAATCCCAGCATTTTGGGAGGCCGAGGCGGGTGGATCACCTGAGGTCAGGAGTTCAAGATGATGAAACCCCACCTCTACTAAAAATATGAAAATTAGCCAGGCATAGTGGTGGGCGCCTGTAATGCCAGCTACTTGGGAGGCTGAGGCACGAGAATTGCTTAAACCCAGGCGGCAGAGATTGCAGTGAGCCGAGACTGCACCACTGCACTCCAGCCTGGGCAACAAAGCAAGACTCTGTCTCAAAAAAAGTGGAATCATTATTTCTCCTTTTGAGACTGGCTTATTTCAGTTCATCCATGTTGTAGCATGTGCCAGAATTTTCCTTCCTTTTTAAGGCTGAACAATATTCCCTTGTATGTATATACCGCATCTCAGTTACCTATTCGTCCCTGCACTGACACTTGCTTCCACCTTTCAGCTATTGTGAATAATGCTCGGTGAACATGGGGGTACAAGTATCTGTTGGGTCCCTGCTTTTACTTGTTTTGGGATATACCCTGAAGTGGAACTGCTAGATTATATGGGAATTTTATATTTAATTTTTTTTTTTTTTTTTTTAGAGACAGTTTCATTCTGTCACGTAGACTGGAATACAGTGGTGGGTTCATGGTTCACTGTAACCTCAAACCCCTAGGTTCAACCAATTCTCCCGCCTCAGCCTCCAGAATAGCTAGGACTGCAGGCATGTGTCACCATGCCCAGCTAATTAAAAAAATTTTTTTTGTAGAGATGTAGTCTTGCTCTGCTGCGCAGGCTAGCCTCAAACTCCTGGCATTAACTGATCCTCTAGCCTCACCCTCCCAAAGTGCTGAGATCACAAGTGTGAGCCGCTGTGCCTGGCCTTTATTTAATTTTTTGAAGAACTGCCATACCATGTTCCACAATGGCTGTAACATTTTACATTTCCATTACTATATCCCAGGTACTGTGCTAATACTTTCAGACAAAAGAGTGAACAAAATCAGATGCAATTACTGCTCCAAAGGAACTTAGCATATTATAAATGGATGGATATATAATATGGATTATACGTGGATGCCATTTTTACATAACAGTAAATGTGGTAACAAATAAGCAAAGAAAAATTTTTCTGTTACCGAGTCCACAGAAAATTGATTAGGAATCCAATTAATGTAGATTTTAATGACACAATGCTAATCACTTCTTCAAGTTAGTAACTTAAGAGGTTGCACAACACGGTGCTTAAGAACCTGGTCTCTGGAGCCTGACTGCCTGGGTTTGAATCCCTGAGTTGCCTTTACTTGCTTGAAAGCTTAGGCAAGTTACTATACCTGTCGGTACCTCAGTTTTCATACCTATAAACTGAAGAAAATAACTGTGAGGATTAAATGGCCGGGCGTGGTGGCTCAAGCCTGTAATCCCAGCACTTTGGGAGGCCGAGGCGGGCGGATCGCGAAGTGAGGAGATCGAGACCATCCTGGCTAACACGGTGAAACCCCGTCTCTACTAAAAATACAAAAAAAAGAAATTAGCCAGGCGTGGTGGCGGTCGCCTGTAGTCCCAGCTACTCCGGAGGCTGAGGCGGGAAAATGGCGTGAACCTGGGAAGCGGAGCTTGCAGTGAGCCGAGATCGCGCCACTGGGGGCGACAGAGCGAGACTCCGTCTCAAAAAAAAAAAAAAAAAAAGAAAATAACTGTGAGGATTAAATAAGTTAATACATGTGTAAAGCACATGTCCCAAGCACACAGCCAGTGCTCAACACACGTAAGCAATTTTATATTATTAACAAGACAGCTCTACCAGTTATCACGTGATACTACTATTAAAATTGGCTTTTGAGTGTTTCTTTTCGGCAGTTTTCGAAAAGTTCAATATCTAATTATTCTGAAACAGCACACAACATCTTGAAGTTACTGATACCATTCTGTACAACATAGTTATATGAACAGGCTGAGAAATCCTGTATTAAAATAATGGTCATTTGAATTTATTGATTTAGTCATTTTGTTTACTTTTAATTTATAAAAATATTTGATTTTATAGTTGTTTAAGAGCATTATGCTTGAGTTTATAACTAGCTTACGTATATACATATTCAATATAATAAAATAATTTTCATCAACACTTGGCACTCATGACAACTTTTCCCTTCATTCAAGTGTAAAAGACACTGCTCTGCAGAAAGTATGTAATTCTTGCTGTCTTTGTCTTCTTTTCTTCCATCAATACCTAAACACCTGCTATGTGGCAGAAACTGTGCTAGGTGCTCCAGGTAGACGAATGAAGAAGACCACTGTGGTCTTCGCTCCCAGGGGCAATCTATGTGGGAGAAAGGCTAAAAACAGGTAACAACGATACATTATGAATTGTGACAAATCCTATTAGAGAAATAAACAAGTTGATGGAGAATAATGGCATCGGGAGGATGCTTAATTTAAAGATGTGCTCAGAGAAAGTTTTTCTGATAAAGTGACTTTAAAGCTGAGACCTTAAGGATGAAAAGGTAGAAAATACCTGATGGAGAATTTTTCATAAGAAACAAACGAAGGGAAAAGATGAATTACTTGTTGCTGTCTCCCCCACCCCTCCCTAGCTATCTTTCCTGTACTGTGTTCTCTCTTTTCATTCTGAACCGTCAGGCACCCACATACTTCCTGAATACTGTCCTCCTATATGCCTGACATTGTACTAAGCTCTATGGAGAACAGTGAAATATTGAATTAGTCTTCAAAGACCTACAGGTGAAAGATAATTGAAACTCCACCACACAAATCTTCACCTATTTTTTTCAAAAATTCACCTAAACTCTCAAACCCCAAATACACATTCATAAATAATAACGAAATGAATCTGTTTGATTGATAGGTTTTATCGACTAAGAATGTACCTTTTCTGCTCTTCCACAGTCTATTTGCCAATTCTTCTAAGAATAGGCGTGTCTTGGTGATCAGACGGACCTAGATTTCAATCTTGCCACTACCAGGACTGGCCAGCATAAAGTTCTCTGAGCTTCAGTTTGCTCATTTGGTAACCGGTAGAAACAATACCTAAATGACTAAATTATTGAGAAATTAGATAACATTACTGGAAGCAGAAGCAGGTAAGAGTACTTCAAATACTGAAGCCAGACAGACCTGGGTTCAAAACTAAGCTCTGTTAATTACTAGCTATGTGACCCCGATAGTTATTTAACATTCTAAACCTAGGTTAATCTGTAAAATGGATACAGATGGCTGTGAGGATTAAATAAGATAATGCATACGGAACATCATACATTCCTGGTTACACAAAGGCCCCCTACTAAGTGCTTTACCTAGTGCAGAAATTTCCTGGTAAAGGAGTAATGAGGGAAACACCGCAGGCTCTCGATTTCATTTTTTCATTCAACAAACTTTACCGAGCGCTTACCAAGTGTCTGGGAGCTCTGTATTTGGCCCAGTCCTTGAAAACTCAAACAATGCACGTGTGAAAATAAACAGGAGAAAGTACCTCCCACACTTCTAAATCATTCCCCAGCAACTGACACCTGGACCTCAGGCCCTTTCCTCGCCCCGCCACAGGCGGGGCTCTTCGAGGTCTGCCCTCCGTTTTCTAGCGTAGGCCCAGCCTCTCTAGGTGTCACATCAGCCTTGACCCTAAGGGGCTGCCCTCCAGTCACCTGTCCAGGGACAAGTCCCCAGCCCTGGAAGCCTCGCCCGCTAGGTCCCTCAGCCTAGTCCCCCAGGTGCTGACTCAGGTCCGCCGCTCCTGCACTCCCTGGTTCCCGCGCTCTGCGCCGCACAGTACCTGCAGGCCACTCCGCTTGTTCCAGGTGAAAATAGACCCAGGGTACCCGCTCAGGGCCAAGAGCAGTTCGTGGATCATTCCCACAGCGGACCTCGAGTCCCTGGATACTTCACCCCCTCCTCCAGCGCACCTCCAGGCGACCACGAGGGGAGTGCTTCCCCTTCCACACGCGCACCAGCCCCTGGGTCGGGCGGTTTGTGCCGAATCAACCCACCGAGACAATCGCTGCGGCGGACCGGACGGAAAGCTGGGAAGCGGTCGCGGCTGAGTTCCGGAAGTTCGGCGGCTCCACTGGGCCCACCCGCTACTCCCGCCCAGGCTCCGCGGAGACTGAGTCGCGGGCGCAGCCCTCGCGCATGCGCCCTCGGTGCCCCGAGCCGCCCGCTCGGACTTCCGGTTTGGGAGCTGTACTTGGGAGGCTGGAGAGCCCGGGCCGGGGTCGGGGTTGGACCTCGAGTGGGTGAGACTGGCCCAGAGGCAAGGATGCGAGGGGGCTGAGGGGCAGCTCGAGAGGGAGACACTCCCAGGGGTGGGCTGGAGGGCGCCCTCAGGGCGCCTTAGCCGGGTCAGAGGCCTCTGGAGGGACCGCACGACGGCTCTGGGTGACCCGGCCAGAGGGAGCGGAGACAAAAGAGGCCAGAATCCCGCAGCCGCCGCTCCTTGAGCTGAGAGCTCGGCGTCCGCGAACCGGCAGCACCTGGAGCATCTGGCCGACTCCCGAGCTCGTCCTCAGGAAGCCCGTTACTACTGCCCCTCGGACTCTCTCCAACGCAGTGTGACTCTCCCCAAGCGCACTCGGTCCGCGCTTTGGAGCCAAAACCAGCTTCTCTCCTTGCGCGAGGTTTTCCGACAGGTAGCTCCTTAATCCTTGCTGAGCAACTTCTACTTTTACGCGGGGAAAACAAAGACCCGAGATTCTGGACGTGATTTTTGCCTGGAGTGGGCTTTGGGAGTTGTGCAGCCCGAGGGGGCAGGGCGGACACTGAAGGCCTCCGGAAGGACTGCGGAGGTACTGGGGAAGATGAGCTGCGACCAGCTGGACAGAGGCTTTTTGTTGCCTTCGAGCAGGATGGCGAATTGTCTTTAGATCCTCTCGAGCACCAGCTCTCCTATATGGTTCGGACTCACCGTGCAACATTGGGCAGGGAAATTAAATGGGATTGGATTTGGAGGAGGTGGGAGGGGGCAGACAGTAAGTAGTTTTATTCTCTGCTGCTTCCTGGGGCTGCCCTGAAAGTCAACCAGAAAAGCAGCTTTTGCAAAGTCTATTTACTGAAGATTGTGCTACCTCAGAAGGCCACTCGGAGCACATGGGAAGGCAGGCTAGCTCTGGCAAGACTTTAGACATATGAATGTATTCCTTCTGCTGATAGTGCCATCTTTCTCTGCCCTAGGAAGAAACTCCTCTTACAGAGAGTCATCTGCAGGGGACTCTCCAAGGACATGGGAAGATAGATGTAAGCCCTGGAACCCAGACTCTTAAGTGGAGGGAAGCTGCTTTCTGCTGTTAATGATGGCCAAATCCGCTCTGAGAGAGAATGGCACTAACTCTGAGAGCTTCCGACAGCGTTTCAGGAGATTCCATTACCAGGAGGTGGCTGGGCCGCGGGAGGCTTTCAGCCAACTCTGGGAACTTTGCTGTCGGTGGCTAAGGCCAGAGGTGCGCACCAAGGAGCAGATTGTAGAACTGTTGGTGCTAGAGCAGTTCCTGACCGTCTTACCTGGGGAGATCCAGAATTGGGTACAGGAACAATGTCCAGAAAATGGAGAGGAGGCAGTGACTCTCGTGGAAGATTTAGAAAGAGAGCCTGGAAGACCTAGATCTTTGGTGAGAAGGGAGGGGGAATTCAAAAGTGTGATACTGGGAAGGGGCAAGGGTGGAGGGCTAAATTAAGATATAGACAAGCTTTAAGAGGGACACAGTCTCCCTTGGTGATGCTTATACTTCTGGTCTGGTATAGGTAACTTTTTCAGATAGTGCTTGTCTGGAGATGCTGCCTGGGTGTACCTTCACCTACCCTGTCATAATGAGTTTTTCCTAGTTTCATAGTTTCTTAATAGAGAAGAAAGGGGATTTTGTTTTGTTTTGTTTTTTTCAGCCTGTAGGTGGGTTTACTCTTTTGATCATTTCCTTCTGGAGTTTCAGCTGCTTTAAGCTAATGGCAATGGAATAAGATCCTTGTTCGCTTTAACCTCCCCCACCCCTACAACCCTGGCCACGGGTATTAAATAATCTCCTCTGGGAATGCCCCTCATTATGATCTTGCAGTGACAATTAATGGGGGTTGTTTCTAGGTCACAGTCTCTGTGAAGGGGCAGGAAGTGCGCTTGGAGAAGATGACACCCCCGAAATCATCACAAGAGTTATTAAGTGTTCGGCAGGAGTCAGTGGAACCCCAGCCCAGGGGTGTACCCAAGAAAGAGAGGGCAAGAAGCCCAGACCTGGGACCACAGGAGCAGATGAACCCAAAGGAGAAGCTCAAACCTTTTCAAAGGAGCGGTGAGGAGTAGATTCACATGGGAAGATAGACTGCCATTCCAAGTTGGGAAGTAGGGTTGGGGATAGTGAGTGGGTAAGGGATTTCAGGAGTAAGTGGAAATTGCAGAATATGTGGTTGTTGACATGTAGTTTAGCCCTGTGGTATTCTTATATCACCTCCTGATAAGTCCACAAGAGAATGGCTCCCTAGTTTTTATCAGAAAGAACTTGGAATTATTTTATTTCCTCTTGGTAATGATGACAGTAGGTCATTATATTCTAGATAAAAATTATTTACTTGAAGGCACATCTTCCTTTTGGTTGTTCTCCATCTTCAAATTAAACTATATTTGTTACCTTAAACTTTCCCCCCAGAAGATCCATTCTTTAAACCTAAGTTTTTGTTGCTCTCTATTGGAACCTTTAAGTTCTCCAAATATCATGTTAATTGTGGGGAACTAAATTATGTGTATCATTTTCCTGAAAGTCTGTTAGAAGCTAAGTAAGAATTTTACTTCAGAATCTGCAATGTCTTGTATCAGTATAGCCCAACCTGTGATATTTTTTTTGTTCACCGGGTAACTTCCAGGACTCTGATAACTTTCCCCAATGCCTTTATACCTAGTTGATTATTCTTGTACTTGATTTTTGTAGAACTTGTTTTTCTTCTTTGTAGTCTATTGATCTCCATGTTCTATGCTTTTTTCTGTTACCATTTCACTTAAAATTTGTTGAGGTTGTTTTGAATTCTGATCTTATCCAAGACAATAGCCTTCTCAGCCAGTTTGGTAATGGTCTGTTTAGTCACCCAGATGAAATCCCTGAATCTTACACACAGACGCAGAGTTCATCAGTTTTTGAACACCTATCAAGGTGCTCAACACCTTGCAGGGTACTCTGCAATAAGAAAATGTGCCTATCCTCAACTTAAAAACATGATTGAGAACACAACAGCTAACTCTTTAAGTATGGGCCGAACTGAACTGTACTGAAACAGTGCCAGACAATGACTTGCTCAATTGTGTGAGTACCGTCTGGGTTTGGCAGAGTGGAAGATGAGGGAGAGCTGTAGGTAAGCCTTCTTGAGGGCACTGGGAAATACAGCCTCTTGAAGGATGGGCTGAAATTGGATAGGAGGGAATTAAAGGCACAGAGTGGTGAATAATAGTGTGCTATGTTCTGGAGGGAAGAGTCAGACAGGAATGGGTATGGTAGGCATTAAGGTTAAGGTTCACCAGGGTAGCATGTGCACTGAGGAAGCAAGAGCCTGCAGTTAGGTAGAACAGTGACTGCTGCAATTATCTGGGTGTGAGAGGATAAGTAGTCTGGACTTGGATGGTGGCAGTAGGAATAGAGAGGAAGGACTACTAAGGTAACCACCTTTAGAACTTGGTGACTGACTGTGAAGGAAACAGATAAGTTAAAGACAATCTTCTCTTGCCTCCCCCTTGAAATCACTCCGAGTTTAATTCTGTAGCCCCAAGTGAAGAACAATTATTCCCAGCAGTACTAGGACCTGCCTACAAATAGGAAGCTAAGGAGCAACTTGGAATAGAATTATCTGCTCTGAACACACAACAGAATCCTTTCCTCTCTTGTCATCCTGCTCTGGAAAATAAAACATTTCTCATCTTTTGAGGTTTCCTGTATTTTCCCCACTTTTTTCAACCCACTGAACTTTCTGAAAACATTGCCCTAGAGACTTTGTTTATAATCCTCTTGGATGAAAAAGGCAGGACTGAATTTCAAGATTTTTATGATAATCAGTCCAAACTATGACACCTTTTGTTTGCTTCCCTGCAAGCAGGATTTCCATTTCCTCAGTCCGGTGTGGTCTCCAGGTTGGAGCAAGGAGAGCCATGGATCCCAGATCTGCTGGGCTCCAAGGAGAAAGAACTTCCAAGTGGCAGCCACACAGGAGACAGACGAGTGCATGCTGATCTGTTACCATCCAAGAAAGATAGAAGAAGCTGGGTGGAACAGGATCACTGGAGCTTTGAAGATGAGAAGGTGGCAGGTGTGCACTGGGGCTATGAAGAGACCAGAACGCTCCTCGCAATTCTCAGCCAGACTGAGTTTTATGAGGCTCTCAAAAGCTGTCATAAGAACAGCCAAGTGTATGGGGCTGTGGCTGAGCGGCTCAGGGAATATGGCTTCCTCCGGACCCTGGAACAGTGTCGGACCAAGTTCAAAGGTCTCCAGAAGAGCTATCGGAAAGTCAAGAGCGGCCACCCACCTGAGACCTGCCCCTTCTTTGAAGAAATGAAAGCCCTGATGAGTGCACAGGTCATTGCCCTGCCCAGTAATGGCCTGGAAGAAGCAGCCTCTCACTCTTGCCTGGTGAGCAATGATGCTAAGACTGAGGAGCCAGGGCGGAGGGGCTGGCAGCATGAGGAGGGAGCAGAAGAGGCTGTGACTCAGGAGTCTGACAGTGATGACATGGATCTAGAGGCGACCCCCCAGGACCCCAACTCAACTGCAGCTGTCGTGTTCAGAAACCCAGGTGGTAAGAAGCTTTTCTTCCTGGAGTTTTGGAATTCGACTTGGGGAACAAAGAGACTGGATGTAGGGTCAGAAGGCTTAATGTTACATGCCAGCTTTGCCACTTAGGGAACAAAGAAGTGCTTCTCAATTCTTTGTGTGTATTTCATTCTATTTTATGGGAAAATCAGTGAGATAATTGGGAATAAATTTAGATTTTTAAAAGAAATACACTCAGAAAATTCACAGTCCTGAGAAGGAGTATCATTCCTTCCATTTCTTTACTAAACTATTTTTTCCCTGATTTTAAAATCATTGCAGGCTCACTGAGAAAAATGTGACACGATACTATCTTTAAGTAGAACCAGTATTTATTGAGTACGTCATATGAACTGGATAGTTTACATATTTTATCTTCCCCAGATCTCAAAGTCAGTTTATTATATTCATTTTTACTTAGAATAGCACAGTGAAGAATTGTCCAAAGTTGGGGAAACATTTTTTTATTTAAAAATTTTAAAATATATTTAAAACAGAGACAGGGTCTTGCTGTGTTGCTCAGGCTGGTCTCACTGGATTCAAGCAGTCCTCCCACCTCAGCCTTCTGAGTAGTTAGGACTACAGGTGTGAGCCACCACACTCAGCTGGGAACATCTAAGTTTCCTCTGAGATTCATAGTATACATTGGCATTTTAACAGGATTGAGAAGTCCTACAGTGAGAAAGCTTGTTTAACACTCTATTTAAATATTCTTGCCTATGGAATCCTTTTAAAAGTGTCACTTACTACCATTAATGTAATTGGTACAACTATGCTGTTATGGAAAGAGCACCAAAGTATGACTCAGGAGGCTTAGATTCTAATCCTGATGACCACTAATCAACTGGGTGACCTTGAACAGTTATCTAACCATTCTAAGCTTCCATTTCCTCAAGCATAAAATGGGACAAAGCAGGAGGACTACATCGCTAAAGTTGCAGTTTCTTTGTAAGCAGTGGTCTTTTCCTTCTGTTTTTTATGACATGCATGATCTTACTTTAGTTCTGTTCTAGCTTTCTGATCTTTGTGTCTTCTGCTTTTTCATTTCTATTTTTCTTCTTGTTTTCTTCATTCTCTTTTTCCTTTTTTGTTGTGGACACAAATATATGTAGGTTAATTAAATGTGGCACATGTGCTAAATGTTATTTTCATTATCTTTGTTCTCTCACTTCTTTTTTTTCTTTTTTTGAGACAGAGTTGCTCTGTTGTCCAGGCTGGAGTGCAGTGGTGTGATCTCATCTCACTGCAACCTCCGCCTCCCCAGTTCAAGTGATTCTCGATTCTCATGCCTCAGCCTCCCAAGTAGGTGGGACTATAGGTGCACACCACCATGCCTGGCTAATTTTTATGTGTTTTTAGTAGAGACGGGCTTTCACCATGTTGTCCAGGCTGGTCTCAAACTCCTGGCCCCAAGCGATCCACAGGGATTACAGACATGAGCCACTGTGCCTGGCCAGCTTCTTTTTTATATGGCTAAACAGAATTTGTAAATAAAGGTCTCTGTGAAATTGCTAAAGGAGATAAAGAAGCAAAACATTTTATACTGAGTTTGTGGGTTTTGGCAACACGAAGTATTTTTACTTTTTCATCTAGGAGCCTGAGCTTAGGTGAATT